TAAATATTAAGCTTTCTTTTTTGTAAATTTTGATACCCTTTAGATCATAATTGTTCTTTATTTCATAAATTACGGTTTCATATTTTTAATTTTAGAATTTCTGCATGCCATTTTTACCAGATTTAAACTGATGATCTATAATCCGGAATTGCCGAAATCCCGACGAGTCCGGATTAACGACTTTTGACTGCATATGCATATTATTATTTCTTCATATGTTATAGGTAAATATGCATGTGTATATTTATCACTCATATAAATTTGTAGCTAGATATATGTATACATAAATGTATCTATATTTATATACATATTGCTGTTCATTCCACATTTAGACAAGTTTTTGTGATGATGCAATAACGTTTTCACTTTTTTGAAATTGGATAGTGTTCTGTAATCGGAACCGGATCAGAAATATACGAGTGTATGCACATGTGTATGTATATGCATATATGTGTCTCTCTATATACAGACGTACATTCCTACTTACAGTACATACATGCATACATGAACACACACATGCATCCATACATTTCTGAATCCGGTCTTAATAAGAGAACTGTACCTGAAATTGTATGGCCCTGAAAAGAGCTTTTTAAATTTTTGCAACTGAAATTCGAAGCCTAAAAGCATGTTTTGCACAAGCACATTCTGCATATATCACACTCCCAAGAACTTTCAATATACTTTCCTCATTCTTTACATCGAACACAAGTGCATTTACGACTATTAATTTTTCGACATTTGTGATCATGAAATGCACTAGGCGAAACACGCCTGAGGTTCGTTTACGAAACAACAGGGTTGCCACTCAAACAGGAGAATGAAATTCCCTGACTTTTCCAGGTGTGTTTCAAGAAAATTCCAGTCTATACGCGTAATGTACGTTGGCTGTACTAAGAGGTAAATTAATTATGGTATTACTTGTACTGTGTAGCAAATTCACTTAATAAATCCCAGAGGACATTTATTCTTAATTATTCTTGGTATACTATGTTTGATAATTTTGTTTAGTTTTCCACTTAAGAAACTTAATAAAATTTAAGATATATATATTGGATAACAAATGTATGTTTTATTTAATTATTACTCATGATCATCACCAGTTCAACACAAGGCTAATCCGGTCCTTATAAATCACAATGCAATGCTAAATAGTTAGGTTAGATTTTAGGTAAATTTAATTTGCGTGAGGTATGTTCTTAAAAGGCACCTTAACACTTGAAAACACAAATATAATTATAATAGTTGTTGTTTTCTCCACTGAAGATTGAAATTAGAATCTTCCCAATCTGGAATAAAATAAGGCTTTTTTTGCAGACATTCGACAGCTAAACGAAAGAAAGAAATCTATTTTAATAAATTGAGGTATTTTATATTTATTTCGCAGCATACATAAGGAAAAAATATGTGCATTAAATTTGTATTAAATTTGGTATGTCATCATACTGCTATAATTAATTTCAGGATTATGCCAGAGAAAATTTCCTGAAATTTGGAAATATTATTTACTAATAATAAATAAATTTAGAGGAAAGAAGCAACATTAAATTATATGAATAATATGATTTCGACGCTGATCTGCTAGATTTACACCTCCCATATTTTTACTGTACTTGACAAATGCGAGTAGACATGGTACTACACTTTTTTCGGAGCCTTTTCTTCTTGTAGTAAAACATGGTTCATTTTTACAGTTTGTGGAAATGATATGTATCAATTTTTTATCAAGCCAGGATGAATAAAGTAAATTCGGCAGGCTTTTGCATTGCATAACTAAACTGTCGTATTGATTTCCAACCTTCATTTGCTTGATGTTCTCGGGAATATTTTTCTGATTTGTCATCACAGTTCCACATGACAATTGTCCAGATTTATATAACTCGGACATCAAGTCTACACTGGTGAAAAATCTGTCAAAATAGATTTCATGGCCCTTATTTTTAAGTGCTTTTATTAAGTGCATAACTACGTCATATCCTAAACCCTTTCCTGACCTTGGTATCTGATCTTTTTTACCACAGTAAAGTTCAAAGTTGTAGTATATCCTAAGCGAGATGTGCAGAGCATCCATATCTTTAATCCACGCTTAGCTGGTTTCATAGGCATACATTGCACGATCCCTAATCTACCTTTAAATTTAATTAGCGCTTCGTCAATTGATACTTCAGCATAAGGCACAAATTGTCGCTGAAATTTGTTTCTGAAATATGAAATGACAGGCTCTAATTTCCAAATCTGACTCATCTGTATCATTAAAAAGAATAGCCTCAATTTCTTGTTGAGTGATATTTGTGCATTTTGATTAAAAGCACACTCTACCAAAAAAGAATCAACAACAAACTGCCCAAGATAACAAACCTCTTAGGACAAGCTGTCAGCAGTAAACTGATACAAAGCATTGAGGAAATTGCACCTGCTACTGAATACCTTAGGGGGAGGGAAGGAAACAAGATTGCAATCTCGGCCGTTTTCGGGCGGTTCTGGCTGTGTCGGGCGGATTGGCCGTGAAGGAGTTAAATGGAATTTGGAAAAAGCATTGATGATGAACCTTGTTCAGGATATTTTAAACTGTTAGAACCAAATCAAACGGTTAATTTAGAAATTAATAGTGAACACGTTTGCCGTCTAAACTTAGAATTGATAAAAAAAAAAAACACTCATGATTGGTGAATATCAAGAACGTGTTGTTTCAACATGATAATACTGGACAAAATTAGTGAATTTAATTGGGAGCTTTTGCCACATCTTGCTTACTCCCCAGATATTATCCGAAGTAATTTTCACTTATTTCGTGCCTTACAAAATTTTTTACTGGGAAAAGACAGGATGTACATAACTTTCAAGTTTTTTTGCATCAAAACCAGTCTTTCTACAGCAATGGCATAAAAAAGCTGTCTGTAAGATGGTGAGACATTGTAGATAATGGAGGAAAATATATAATTGATTAAAATGTTAAATTGTGTTTTTTTATATTATTTATAAAATTTTACCAAAAAATACATACGAATTTATGGATTGACACAATATTAACCACAAAGCTGTATGTTTATGTTCCATGCATATTTATGTTTATGTTCCATGCAGTGTGGAAAAACCACGGCACCTAAAGCAACTAAATTTTGAATACACAATCTTCCACCTCAAAGACCAAATTTTAAATTTTTAGTTTTTTTTTTTTTTTATTACTTATTTCGTATTTTGTACAAATTTAATGAATTTTCGATTACAAAACTTGCAATCACAAAGCGAGCAGTAGCAAAACTGCTTGAAATAACGCATTTTTATCATGCAGGGTAGAAATGAAGCCATGAAACGTCATGGCTTATCATGGCCACTGCCATAAGTGGACTTCCGGTTCGTTTTGTTTACATTCTAATCTAAGTTGTCTACATGTCATTGAATGTTTATACATCACCTGCTCTAATTTTATTAATTAACATAAAAAATATTCTACTTGGTATATACAAAAATCACAAGGATTGCAAACAAATGGCAACTTAAAACAAATGTATTACATGGTAAAACCTGGAAGATCAGTTGAAGTTTCAAGGTTATTTTATGCAAAATAATGCCCAAAGACACTTTTTTGAGCCTGCAGATGTTGATATTTGCTTTCAAATTCAAAACAATTTTATTTAACAATAAATTTCGTAGTCTTTTCTGTACACTAAATGGCACCCATGATAAGTCTTGATGTCACATTGCTGACATTTCCATGGTTTTATTTTTGTGACATCAGGCTTAGGCCATCTATTTTAACCCCCTTCAATTTCAATCAACAAACTATTTAAGAACAATGTGCTGCCACTACCTGGGGAAAAAATCACATTTATCTTCCATGCGCCAACATGTTTCCATTCAGTAAAATGTCAGATATTGACAAAAACCGTAGTTCTTAAGAATATTTCTTTCTTTTAATCTGACATTAAATAAACATGCATTTAAATAACAAGAACGTCAAAAAGAAATACCAAATACTTTTACAAAATTACACTAACTGGGCTCATTAAAATCATTACATATATTTTCCAGTTTTATGCATTTATATATCTCCGATAACTATTTTAAGGCGTTGGCTGTGCGGCTAGCCTATAAAGCGTAAATTACATTCAGGAAATACTAGTTTTCAAGCGAGAAAACTCAATATATACTGCTGGAAATTTTAATCTGAATAACTGAACATGTTTTGCATATTAAAAAAGAGTACAGTAACCACTTTGCTCCCCCAGTGCATCATCTATGATGCGCTTTAGTCCCCCCATATCATACATAGTATGGCAGCAAAGTGTCAAAGGCGGTATCACATCTTGTATGCCGAAAGGCTGGTTTTTTTTTTTTTTTTTTAACATTTTAAACGCACACAAATGATGTCAGAATGCCGTGAAACTTAACTGAATGTAATATGTTGAGCGTTAATCTTATTATTAGTATTAGTCACAATTTTTTTCTAGAAATGTAACAACTTCTGAGTTTAACTGGCTTGCAAATTATCCGGAAGCATCTTACAAAATAAAGAAAAATTGGCTCCAAAGAAATGCACCCAACTATTAAGTACTATATTTAATATTACTGTATGGTCAGTAATATTAAAAATAGCAAAAGTTGCAGCACAAAAGATGTCTACCCAGCAGTTCATTTGTCTATTGGGGCAATCAAGTCCTCGTGATGGCAGATTCATTTCCTCCAGAACATATTGCAACAATATTCTGGTTATGGCTAGGTGACTCTATTAAAAATATAGCTTCGGAACTTCTTATAATCTCACATTCTTCCTCAATAAAGATTTGAAACCTGGTAGTGTTGCAACTGTGATTTTTTAGATGAAGCATATTGCTGCCTTTTATATGCCAATTAAAGGAAGTACTACTGCCATATATGATGTACTGTACACTACGCTAATACAAAAAGTTTATTGATACAACTTTTTGGTACAACATTTCTAAGGCCAACAGTAAATATCTTTAACTATGCATTTTTATTAAAAACCCTAGTATACTTACATTTGATTCATTACGACTCTGTATAAGATTTCCATCACCAGCAGGTTCCATGACTGAAGCTTCAGAATCCTCATCACTATCCTCATATTCTAGAAAACAAATGAATTAATTTAAACAAAAAGAGGACAAAGCATTCCATGATTAGCATGAATTTTCAAAGATATAACAATATTTACCATTTTCTGAAAATGAAACAGAATCTTCCATTTCATCAGAAACATTTGCTTTAGAATCGTTTGAATATGCCCCAGAATATTTTGCTCTCAGTTCTTCAACAGTCATTTCATCTAAAGAACGACAGTTATTGAATATTGCTTATAAAAATGCATAATTATATAAATTAATGTGCCTGTTTTATTATACAAACACTTACTCTCTGCTTCCAATTCTCTTATCTCTTCCCTGTGATCAATGTTCTTTTCCATTTTTTCTTGCTCTAGAATAGTTTTTTCATCATCCTCTTCATCCTCAAACATTTGGAAATCTTCATCGTCATCAAAAGCTGAATGTACCATCTCTTTATTATTATCAGATACAGATTCCTTCACATAACAGAGAGAAAATATTTCACTATTATGAACAAAATGTTTATAATATACATTTTGCATAGTTCATGAAAAACCTGATCAGTGAAATATTATTCCCTACAGATGCCAACCTTTTAAAAGGCCTATCAGTAACACTTAACTGAATTATCATTGTCACATTCCAGCCTTCTCCATATTAAATAGATGCTAAAGCATAAACTGGATGTTACATCACGCAAAAAGCACATTACTTAAATTTTACACAAGAAACATAAATTTAAAAATGTTAAATAATGATACTTTCAAGTTAGTGTCCCTAACCTGATATAGTCAACTTTGTTGCAGCAACTCTTTTAGCTTAACATATTCTGCTACTGAAGTGTTTTGGGCCCTGGGATGCATAAGCATATGCCCTGAATAAGTGGTCAGCTTGTCGCAGGACCCCCGATGTTTAGTATCCAAGCAAACTTGGTACTCATTTTATCAACCCAAGGGATGAAAGGCTTGCCCAGCCCGGGGATTAAACCCCGGGACCTGTGGTTGCTGCTGCACTAGCCACTGCACCACCAGGCCTCAGTTCTAATGTCATTTTAATTCCTTTACAAATTGCTGATAATCCTTTTAGTACGTGTATTTATATTGTAATATGAAATACTCTTAAGTAGCTAAAGCAAACAACATATTTGGCAATGCTAGCATAATTTTCTTTCTCACATAATCCATCATGTGCTTAAATAAAGCAGCTGCTTTATTTTTTCCACTCACAATTTTTTTGGCTATGGTAAAGCCACAAAATTCTGACTGAAACGCAGAATTTATCTGCAAGTAAAATGCACAGTATTCTACAATAATTCTATCTTCCATGTGCCAGGGTGTTGTCATTCAGTAGAATGTTATGTCTGTTACTAATTACCAAACTAAGCAATTTAGCAGAAATAAGCACAGTTCTTCATCTCTATTATTATTAATTACTAACTGAATCTGTACAATAGCACTAGCTATACTCTTGAAAACTGTCGTATAAAAATTGGTATATATATATATATATATATAGATATATATATATATATATATATATATATATATATATATATATAAAAACTATTTAGATGTCAAAATTGGATAAACTACATTAAAAAAAAAAAAAAAACTGCACCTAACACATACCTTATCATTTTCTTCATTTCCACTTAACACAGCATGTGACTGTAAAATTTCAGGAGGTAAAGAATCCAGAATATCTTCAAGGGACATTTCACTTTCTTGTTGCAATAATTTTATTTCTTCACTTTGCTCCAATTCATCAATACTTTCTTCTGCTTTTTCAATAGTCTCCTCATCATCACTTTCACTCTCTTCAGGTTCAAAATCTGAAATTCAAAGTTTAAAATATATAATTTATTTTTAAAAACAACAATGAATTAAACAGCAACTAACAGTGTAGCTTCTTATGGTAAATTTCCATAAATTATGCATATATATAGCTTTATTAAATTAAAACATCCAGCTTTTCAGTTCTGTCTGATTATCTGCCCCTTCCTCTGAAAAGACTTCATGTTGTAACAAATTACATTGGCAGATTAAGTAACTCATGTGTTAACTATAATAAGTTATAATTATGTAGCTCACGAATAGATAACAGAGGAGATTTTGTACAAAAAACTATGGCATCTATTTGTATCTATGTAGGTGCTGGGCTTCAGTGTTAGTCAATAAATCGTTGCATTGAATAATGCTTTAAGTTTATTATCTTAAATTTGATCCAGTCTGATTTTAGACTTGTACGTTTATAGAGAATTTTATGTAGATGGCACTTGTTGAATGTTTGTTTTATATGTTTTATTTAATGATGAGTTACCAGCCTGTAATGATAGGAATTGCTCATCTAACACAAATGTTTCTTTTTGTTTGTGTGCGAATTTCAAGCTTCATATTGTTTCATTTATTCACACATACTGCGGGTTACTACTATTAAGCCAAGCCACCCCAAGATCTGAGAAGAATCTAAAAACATTTTCTTCATGGTGCTTTCTTCCAGGGAATATTAAAAACTGGAGCAATCAGCAGACTGAACATTTAAAAAATAGGATGTTTTTGAAAAAGAAATGATCCGTTGTAAGGCAGTTGACAATTAAATTGTTAACTTAACTCGATGCAAATTTGGAAAATGACAATCCACACAAAAGGCAAAAACTGAAATAAATGAGAATTTATGTGAACAATTAATTAAGAAAAACCAATTGATTGAAAAGTTTAAATTCAAAAAAAGAAAGTAACTTTGCAGGAGATTGAAAATGAAGCTACAAAAAGTCAAGAATACCAAGATAGAGCTGGTATACGATGAGGAAAAACGCATTGACTTTTAAAAAAGAATTCAGAATGTTCTAGAACTGCAATATACCAAAACAAAATGGCAAATGTTACACCTACAGAAAAAATGAAAGCACCATATCTGCAGAGTAGAAATTATTATGAAGATTCGTGTAAATGTTTGGACTTTCAGAACCAGTACAAAAATATGATTCACAATATAAGTGGAGTGAGAAAAACTGAAAAATGTGCATATCTAAAATCCTTACTTAGTGGTACTGCTTTAGATGCATTTTCCGACTTCGCTTCAGATTATCAGAATTATGATTCTGCGATAGAAATACTGGAAGAAGTTTTGGAAGACAAGGTAGTCATCATTTCATATATGAATCAGTTGTTATCCCTTGAACTAAAGGTAAACATTTCAAATGTTAAAGCAATGCATAAACTGAATGATGAATGTGAAATAAACACCTGCAGTTTAGCATTGTTAAACGTTACTTCTGGAAGTTATGGAAATATTTTATGTCCAATACTTTTGCAAATATTTCCAGAGGCATTAGATTTAAAATTATAGCATCATACAGCCCCAACATCTCTCCTACTTCTACCTTTTTTCACATCTGCAGCTACATATTGTTGGTGCTAACTTCCATTCTGCACAGGACATCCGAAATAAAGTTAATACCCATAAATATATATGTGCTTTTTTTTATTTCTTCCATGAAATTGTCTTCTATTCCTATTGTCCACGATCTCAGAATTACAGTCACTACCATATTAGACAATTGTTTACAAATTATTTTTATATTATTATTTATATTATTATACAAACACACACAGATATACATATGGAGGATAAAATAATGTGAACACCTGTGAAAATGTATGATGTATTTCCCACCTGCAACAGAAGTCTGCCACCTAGTGAGCATGATGAGGAAGATATCAGTCTCTCAACAGGAATCACCTGTGTTGCATGTTTCGATTGAACTGTTTGTGAGAAGTTGAAATGTCAGACCTGTCAGAGTCATCCAAAGATGGATTATGATGGTATGGAACTGCATAATCGACATTTTTAAATTTAAGTTGTCAAGCTTCATCGAAATTACAGTCAAACAGAGAAATTACATCAATTATTTGCTGCATCGAGTACGTTGTCAATAAACCTATGTGTACATGCACGCACGAAAACGTATTTCCGGTACAGCTGTTTGACACAAAAGTTGGCCTAAAAGTCATTAAGAGGCATTGATATAGGGAGTAAGAAATATTGTATTTAGTAAGACGCAGTAGCCCGAAATAAAAGCATAAGTTAAATCAGGATCTTCGTGAATTAGATAAAAACTGCAAAATACATTGCAGTCTTTTTGGAGGTTCCACCAAGATACTGGAAATTATGGGTGCAATTTAAATTCAATAGTGCTAGTCCCCTAATCTCAGAAAATTGACATTCAAAGAGAACAATATATATTGACATTAAAACAGAAGAATGAAATTCTCTGCCTTTTCAGGTCTCCCAGATGAGTTTTAAGAAAATTCCAATTTAGCTGGATAGTGCGCACTGGTTGTCCTCAATTAATTATGGTATCACTTGAAATTTGCTTATTACATGTGACTTTGATATAAAATATACATATAAACGTTTTAAACCCCCAAAGTGTTATTATTACAATCATAACAGGAGTTGTTTTCCTCAGTAACTTTCAAATTAAGTTTTTGCCAAACCAAGAAAATTTGCTGTACAATATTTACATAATAAACCAACATTCTCTTAGATCAATTGCATTACAAAATTAGTTCAGTCCAAATAAACTCCCTTTTAATTACATGAAATGAGTATATAACACCAAAAGTGATTGTTAGTGCATCTGAATTCCAGTCACTGACAATGAAATATATATATAACAAAATGTCAGCACAAATATAATTAGTTAAACTTGTAACTTAAAGATTAATTTTACATGCATAAAAATATACATTTACAAAAGAAATTAAATACTTATAATTCATTCCATCTAAGTAATAAAACAAAATCAGAAATGAAATTGATTTTTTCAATGCTACGTATAAAGTTTAAAACATTGGATTTTTTCTACCATTAATTGTGGTTACTTTAAAACAGCGAATGACAACCTTATTGTTCGAAAACAACATTAGGGCTTCCCTGCCTCGCGAGACAAAAAACCACATTACAGGTTCCAAAGGAGAGGGAACCCAAGTATTATAAATAAGTTCTGGAATGGAAGTTACTGTTTAACGAAATGGCAATTGGAGAGCAGTTACATATCTATCTGATTAAATAATATGCAGTGTGTTTCATATTAAATGGACAAAAAGAACAGCACAGTACAAATTCTGCAATTGATATATTAAGCCCCGCCCCCCCCCCAAAAAAAAAGAAAGAAAGGGGGAAAAAGGGAGGAGGAGTTTGGTGATCAAACAAAAAGCAACAATGTTACCTGCAGCACAGTCTTAGTTTTCAGAACTTTAATATTCTTTAGCTGGAAATTTCTGTAATTATTTCTCAAAAAGAAAATATTTAAAAAAAAAAATTTATCCTGCAGCAAAAGAAGGATTCACTAATCATAATACATTTTAAGTTGTAATTAAACTTCCTGTAACTGTGACTGAACTTACCATCAGATTTCATAGCATTTCTTTTCTTGGGAGTTGAAGAAGACATGGAAACTGGAATTGGAGAAGAGCTTCTACTTGACTCAGGACTTTCATTATAACTACGATTCATTCCCTGAGTAAGCCATGAGGAATACTTTTCGGTTTGATCAACAATGAAATTTAAATGCACATCTAAAACTTTCTTCCTTTTTTCTTCCAACCAAGTTTGCTGTTTGTATTCCACAAGCTAAAAAGTAATAAAGACTTGTGTAATTTTATAATGTATTTGACAACTGAATGAAAACATAAACAAGCTATTGATTTCAGCTTTTGTTTATGAACAGTCATTCAATAATTGAAATAAAAAAGGACATTTAGATAAAATTTAAGAAAAAATAACACATCTATGCAACATAAATCTGAAATTTTCAAAATGATTCCTGTAGTCATCTAATAAAATATTCTTCAAAATTAATATTAGAACACAAATCAACAAAGTTTCAAATTTATAAAGCTAATAAATAAAAATTCTGAATTAAAGGAATTCTTTCAGTATTTATTTACATTTCAAAATTCAACATTTAAAAAATATTCCCATACACATAACATCATAAAATTAGTCAGAAATCACGCATAGATTAAATTTCATATAACCTTTATAAAGAAAGCAAAATATATAAATCAATTTGACCTGCATTTTCCTTTCAGACGAAACAAAGAACATGCAAGGAAAAAAGGCAACCCATGCCGATGTCAAAAAAGTTCTTTCAATTAAACACATCATCCAACTTCACTAGCAGATAAAATTTAGCTTTATTTTCCATCAGATGTGACGAGATGGAATGTTTTAAAATTATTTCTAGAAGCAGGAATAAATGATGAAGAAAACAAATTTGTAAAGCAATACATTAGATTAATTAATCTCCATTATAAAAAATGGCAGCACTTAAAGGGAAAAAAAAATACATAGTAATTCAGCTGAACATGTGCAACTTTCAGGCCCAAATTTTGAATTTTTTAAAATTTATTTACCTCATATTTTATGAAGAGACAATTTCATTAACCAAATCAATGATTTAAAAGCAATATGCTGCTACTCAGCAAATTATAAGATCTGTACATTTCAAATTTAATCAGAAAACTCACTGATTTCAAAGAAATGTGTTGCCATCCAGAAAAATGTAAAACATGTTCCATATTTAGTCACAAAACTCAATGATTTAACATGAATATGGTATCACTCCCCCAAACAATTAATATTTTAATTTTCCATGCAACATTGTGTTATCATTTTGCAAAGTGTAAGATGCTTACATTTTTTGGTACTTACATATATATATATTTCTCTGTTGATCATGAAACTATTGCCAAGCCCAAAGATTTAGCACCATTTGTGGATAAACATGTCATAACACACACGTAACACATACGCTATAACCTTGACTGATTCTCAATAAATCACATTTTATTTTCATGAATTAAGATATCAATTAGCTGTTACTGCCGTGTTCAATTCTATATTTCAGGGGGAAAAATTATTGGGTTGGAGGGAAAGTTCTGTTGTATTTTAAAGAAAATATTTGAATTCATCTATAAAAATATGTGTTTAATATTAATCAATTATATATGCTCCGTTATTTGTTACAACCTGTTGCCATCTTCCAGGTAACCTGTAAATTCCTGTTTTGTAGAAGTTCTCATCCATGGAGTTAAAATAGTCAGCAACTGCCTTAGAAACACTTTCAAAAGACTTGAATTTTTTTCCCGTTAGATAATTTTGCAGAGATCTGAACAGGTAATAATCAGAGGGTGCAATGTCAGGTGAATACGGGGGGTGACTAAGGATTTCCCATCCTAACGCATTCAGTTTTTGTAGTGTCACCACTGCAGTATGCGGGCGAGCATTATCGTGATGGAACACTATTCCTTTTCTGGACGCTAATGCTGGCCTTTTTTCTTTGATAGCTGCATTCAATTTATCCAGCTGATTGCAGTACAGATCCGCGTTGATGTTTTTTCCCTGTTTCAGCAACTCGTAATACACTGGACCTTTCCTGTCCCACCACAAACAAAGCAGTACTTTTCGTTGATGGATACTTGGTTTTGGAACTGTTGCTGATGATGTTCCTGGTTTGCAGTAAGATTTTTTTCTTTTAATATTCTCGTAAAGAATCCACTTTTCATCTCCAGTAACCAGCCTGTCCAAAAACGGCTCCACATTGTGTCTAATCAGATGTGATGAACATATTCTTACACGATCAGACAAATTCTTTTCCGTTAATTCATGTGGAACCCAAACACTTTGCTTTAACACAAACCCAAGAGATTTAATGTGATCTCCAACAGTTGTATGATGAATGCCAAACTCTTCTGCAATTTCTCGACTTGTTAAATGTGGATTATTTTCCAACATGGATCGCAAAACATCATTATCGATCTTGGATGGTCGTCCAGATCGAACACTTTCTTTGAGGCTCAGGTCCCCGGAACGAAATTTGCTAAACCATCTTTGACAAGTACGAACATTTACAATATCTTTTCCAAATACCGCACATAAATTTTTACATGCAACAGATGCGTTGCTTCCTTTTTGGAATTCATATAAAATGCAGTGTCGTAAATGCACTTTATCTACCGACATGTTTTTCCCTTTAAATATTACAAGTAAATGATGAATGGTAAAAAAGGGCACCTTTTATATTATACAGCAGCTAACAAAACAAAACAAAAAACAAAAAAAAAAAAAAAAAAATCTGATTGACTCGCTAGCCCTCCCTCCCACTCACGTTTTGCAGAATAAAAATGAGCAGATAATTTTCAGTAGGATTCATAGGACCCATCACTGACAAAAAAGATGCGCATTAATGGACATAACATGGTCAGTTCAACATGGCCCCCCCCAAAAAAAGAGTAGTAGACTGGAACAAGTACTTGAGGGAAGTAAGTACTCATAGTGATTCAAACAGAGCTTCGTGGGTGATGAATATTTATTGTTTTTCAACAAAGCACAAAAACAAAGCTGTTTATTAGATAAACAAGCATCAAGTCTTTCAGAATTCCACAACTGATGCATTTTTGGTGGGATCTCCTCACAGTCAATCTGTTAATAATGTCATGAATTTTGTATAATACTGTCCAGCAATTATATATAATTGTAGGAAGGAGGAAGACTAACAATGGACAAAGCTGTTCACAGCTAACTTTGGATCATTAACCCTCTGGCTGCTCATCCCGTGATTTCCATGGGCAACTCAAATGTAGCAAAATCTGCTCATCCCGCAAGCATGTGTTTTTCTTCCTTTATTGAAGAGCACATCCCGTTTTTTCCCCATTTAACGCCTGAAATAAATTATATACAGTATTAGACGTTTAGTTTACCTTTTGGCCAACAGATATTATTAGTTGTCCACTAAATTGCCGCATTTGAAGGCACATGGTATTACCGCTCAAACTCCACCTTTTGCGCATTTTTCTTATAGAAATGGCTGCTAGAAAGCATTCAGCGATTATCTTGATTATTTAATTTATTTAATTATTAATTAGATTAATAATTAGATTTATTGAATCTGCTGCATTTGCTTTATACCCTGTTTTGAACTCTATCGTACTAAACTGCATTTCTAAGGTATTTTTTCATCAGTGCTTTATATTTTCTTAAAATTTTATACATTTTACTTTTTTATATTATGCAATAAATAGAAATTAACTGTAATTTATTTTAAAAAAATCTTTTTGGTTATAACATTTGAAATTTGTTTTTCTGGCAACTTAGTTTCTCATCATAAAAATCTATATAAAAAAATATTTTCTAGAAAGGAAAATATCATTTTTTAATTCTCCAATATATATAGATTTAATATATATATATATATATATATAAAAATTGTGCAATTTTTGAAGCGATTTTGGTTTACAAATTGAGCAGTTAGAGGGTTAAGAGATCTCTGTGAGAGCTCTATGCACTTCATATTGTTTATCATTTTCAGTAGTCTGAAGTACTGATTGTGCTCTGTCATACTGAGAAGAGCTGTAAAAGTACTTTTGTGTGAAAAGTTCCAGAACTGTAAACTGTTTCTTTTCGGGAAAATAAATTTTATCAAGCTACCATCAGTTTTGCATGCATTCAATCTATAACAAATCTGTTTGCACACAATAATTTTTGGTGTTGAATGCTGGTGACAAGAATGATGGAGAAGCAACTAACAGAGCAGGTAAGAAATGATAGATGGGACCATCAAATCCATTTAAGAAGATATGACAGGGAGCCAGGAATCCCTTATGGAAGAGATGAAAGCTGGCCCAAAAAAGATGGATCACGCTATCAAACCAGTTCAAGAAAAGGCTGAAACAGGTTAAGAGGAAATGAAAAGAGAAATTATCTCCATAACAGAAAATAAATTAGATGCTAGGAAGGCAGAACAGACACAGGTGATAATATAGTTAGAGAAACTGAAGAAAAAGTTTCTGTTGTAGTGTAAAAAATTGGAAGGAGAGAAAAAAAAAAAAAAAAAAAAAAAAAAGGGGGAGTTTCTGCTGTCAAAGAATAAATCAATGACAGAGTTTCCACTATGCCACAGAAGTTAACAGCTTAAAGAAATCCACTGATAGCAAGGAGCAATTCTGATGTCTTTTAAATTTCTGCCCATGTCTTCTCAACCCTTTTTAAACATATCCACTCATGATGGGAAGACCTCCTGGCAAAATGAACAAGACTCAAGTCTGTATAGTGGCAAATGGAAATGGACGGGATGCTGAAACTAAGGCCTGCAACCTCTCCGAGAGCAGGTATACTCCAAACTCTGCCCCCCCCAAACCGAGGTTATACTTCGGAGCTTCCATTTATTGAAATTTTTATTTTAATGTTGCCTTGATTTTCCTTAGTTGGTACGGCTTCCTATCCAGGGACCATATTACATGCTGTTTTTGGGAAGGAGGTAATGTTATAAATTTTGTATAATGTAACATGAATGTGCATTTTCGTTTTCCTTGTATTTATTATTTGAAATGTATTTTATGCAGATCCTTTTTTAAGCTACCAGGAAGAGGCAGATGTTCTAATACTTTAGAAAGTTTCAAAACGTTCGATTTGACTTTACTTCTATTATTTATGTTACAGCTCATTGTAGCCTTACCTACAGCCGATGTGCTTGATCTTTCATCAAGATCTTTTGTTTGTCCCCTAAGTCCATAACCATATACTTTTTTTGGAATGTACAGTTCTTTTAAAGAAGTAATATTGTGATAGTTACGAGTAGTTTGTCCATGACTACTTTTTAATTGCTATAACTGCATTCTCTGAAAATTAAATTACTCTCATAATTTTCCTACAGTAAAATTAGTTAAATGGGGAGAGGAGGAGTACGGTACCAGTTTACTGACTTCTTTCCTACATCAAATTAAATACTTTAACTTCCTATTCATGTTCCAGAAAACAAGAAAAAAGCACAAGTTACAATAAATTTCATTTACCTTTTCAATGTTATTCCAAAACTGCTTGATTTCTCTTGACATTATGCTCGCAATCTTGCGAAGCCTCATTTGTTCTTCTCGCTCAGCTTTCTCAGCTTTTATTTCCTTCTCTTGAAAGTACTTCGTGATCATACGTGCACACTGAGAAGAAGGGGGGAAAGGAATTTAGTTTTTTTTTTTTAAAAAAGCTAGTTTAAGATATAATGAATATAACTATTATGATTAAAGTATCCAATTAATCAACAAAAACAGAAAGATAAAAATGGAAATCCTTTACATTCAACATTACAGTGACATATTAAATGTAGATTGTTTTAACTAAAGTTTTAAGGAATGTCAATTCATTTAAGAGAAAATAAGACATTCAATAAAAGATCACCTTTTTAGCAGCAGCTTTTTTCCATTTTCGTTCTTGAGCAAAGTCTGTTGCTAGCCATACCATTTCTTCTAAAAGATAGTCCCAATGTGCTTTTATACGTGGACATTCTGCTACTTTTGGAAGTCGTTTCAGAGACCATAATCCTTCTTTTCTTAGATCGCCAACTCTCTGCATAACATAGGCTTCCTAAAAGTAAAAGGTTCCTTAGCAAATATAGCCAATATTAAAGCTGCTTTACACATTTTATCACTTTGATTCAATGAAATGCATAAAGTAAAAATTACCTGCTTAGCTCTCTCCACTATTTCTTCCTGTGATCCAATTTGAGAATCATAGACTGAAGATATAGAGTTATGTTTTGCAGATTGCTTATGTGTCGTAAGTGGCTGTCGAACACCTTTAGTCACTGATGTTTGGGATCCAGAAGATGAATCTGCCGAACGCTGTAATGAAGATGGCAATGGTGGAAGGCGAGAAGGGGATGACTGGGAGTGACTAGAACTCACTGTATTGGATTTAGATGGAGATGAATCACATGATGCAACTAAAAATTTAAAAAATATACAAATTTATAAATATATATATATATAGTTTTTCTGCATCTTCTTTCTACAGTAAACAGATTTTGAATACAATCAAGTTACATAAAATTAAGCTTGATCAAAATTCATTTTTTACAGATTAATGAGATTAATGACATTTTTACCTTAAAAAATATACATTCTGATAACATTTTGAAGTTAATGAGTTCTCGTGCTCGAAAGTGGGTGCGTGTTCTCATGGGTTAAAGATATCTGCAATGCAGATTAAACTGGAGAATTTATCAAATTTTGCTCTATGTTTCACAAAGAAAAGTGCTCTGATGGTAAAAGCTCCAAGAAACGTCTTGCTGTGTTACTTTGCTGTAATATGGAAGGACAGTTTGGGCAACAACTAGTAAGTGGAAAAGAAAAAAAAAAAAAAATCAAGATAATTCAAACACATCAATCCAAAATCTTTATTGATCCATTGGCATCCCAATAAAAAAAATGCATGACAAAACATAATGTTAGAATGATTGATATCTCTTGATAAAATTGTTAAAAAAAAAAAAAAAAGAGGAGGGGGGATTCTGCTGTTTCTTGACAATTTGCCAGCTCATTTACCAAACATAAAACAGAAATCAGTGTTTTTCCCACCTAATGCAACATCAGTATTACAGCCTTTGGACCAAGGTATAATTAGAAGCTACAAAGTTCATTACAGAAAACTGTTTTTATGGAATGTTCTTGTCAAGCTGCTTGTGAAAACAGTGATAAGTTTGCAAAACGTCAATAATGTACTGAATGCTATTCAGTTGATAACAAAAGTTGTTAAATTCATATCACAAAATTGTGTTCAGCACCATTTTAAGAAAGCAGGCTTCGAAATTCCAAATTCGAGTGGGTTCAGTGAAAATACTACTGATAAATGAATTGTTTGAACTTGTCAAAGACAATGGCAGTGCTCAAATGCATTTAGAAATCAATGAACAATAGTATACTGAAGACACCAATGATGACACAAAATTTTTTATTTTGATTGTAGTTGATGTGAGCTTTAATAAAAATAGTTTGGAAAGCAGTGAGGAAGACAAGAAAAGTGTGACATAGAAAACTATACAGATGGCCTTAAAATACACCTCTCAATTAAAACAATTTATGATTACTACTCCATACTTGCCAACATATGACACTCAAAAACCAGAGGATTTTTTTAAGAAATCGGGAGATTTTTCACATAAAAAGACTTTAAATGATGAAAACATAGTTTTTAATAATGAATCGATTTTAAATAGTAACTAATTCTTAAATGCAAGCAACACAAAAATACCTTACACATAAAAAAATTTTTTATTACTTGCATCGTTTAAGAAAACAAAACAACTTTAATTAGTTTTTGTACAAATGTTATAAACAGTGGCAGATTTTGCTTTCTTTAAAAAAGAAACATCATAATTTTGTTCATAGCAATTGCCACGTAGGCCTGCTTTTGCTAATAAAAGTTTTTCTAATGTGTCATCACGAATATTAGATCTAAATTTAGTCCTCGTTTTCGCAACAACACTGAAAATCCTCTCACACTCTGCATTACTATGGGGAACTGTCAAGATAGCCAACATAATTCTAGAGAGTTCACTATATTTTAAAATTCCATCAGCACCTTTCAATTTTCCAATTAAACTCCACTGGGTGTCAATCCTAGCTGATTTTATAACTTCATCCAAGTTTACTAGTTGTAAACTGCTGTTATGCAGCTGTTGGAACTGTTTCAATTTTTCCTTTCTTTTAGAACTCCTTTCAAGATAATAATAAATACCAACAATGTGTTCATCCACATTTATGGGTAAAGATGCTGCCCCTTTTTCAGCTGCTAAATTTAAGAGGTGACAGGTGCACCTCATAATCTGCAAATCTGAATTTGCCTTTCTTAAGTTGCCTGCAACACCAGTCTTCAAGCCTACCATTACTGGTGCATTATCGGCACCAAGTGCTAAGCAATTATCCAGAGGGACTACATTTTCTTTTAAAGTTTTAATAATTAGCTGTGGTATATTAAAGCCTGTCAAAATTCCTTCTAAAGTGGGGACAGAAAGTAAACTGCACTCAATTCTGAAGACTCTGGATTATAAAAAGAAACAACAATTGGATACAGTTTTGAATTGGTATTATTGCTTCCATCCATAGAGAGGCAGAATGGAGCTGTTTTATTGAAATCAATGCATTCAGTGGCAGGTTGTACTCCAGTAAAAAAGTATACTTGCCAACCTATGACACTCAAAAACCAGAGGATTTTTTTAAGAAATCGGGAGATTTTTCACAATGTTAAAAAGACTTTAAATGATGAAAACATAGTTTTTAATAATGAATCGATTTTAAATAGTAACTAATTCTTAAATGCAAGCAACACAAAAATACCTTACACATAAAAAACATTTTTATTACTTGCATCGTTTAAGAAAACAAAAACAAAAACAAAACTTTAATTAGTTTTCGTTCAAATGTTATAAACAGTGGCAGATTTTGCTTTCTTTAAAAAAGAAACATCATAATTTTGTTCATAGCAATTGCCACGTAGGCCTGCTTTTGCTAATAAAAGTTTTTCTAATGTGTCATCACAAATATTACATCTAAATTTAGTCCTCGTTTTCGCAACAACACTGAAAATCCTTTCACACTCTGCATTACTATGGGGAACTGTCAAGATGGCCAACATAATTCTAAACAGTTCACTATATTTTAAAATTCCATCAACATCTTTCAATTTTCCAATTAAACTCCACTGGGTGTCAATCCTAGCTGATTTTATAACTTCATCCAAGTTTACTAATTGTAAACTGCTGTTATGCAGCTGTTGGAACTGTTTCAATTTTTCCTTTCTTTTAGAACTCCTTTCAAGTTAATAATAAATACCAACAATGTGTTCATCCACATTTATGGGTAAAGATGCTGCCCCTTTTTCAGCTGCTAAATTTAAGAGGTGACAGGTGCACCTCATAATCTGCAAATCTGAATTTGCCTTTCTTAAGTTGCCTGCAACACCAGTCTTCAAGCCTACCATTACTGGTGCATTATCGGCACCAAGTGCTAAGCAATTATCCAGAGGGACTACATTTTCTTTTAAAGTTTTAATAATTAGCTGTGGTATATTAAAGCCTGTCAAAATTCCTTCTAAAGTGGGGACAGAAAGTAAACTGCACTCAATTCTGAAGACTCTGGATTATAAAAAGAAACAACAATTGGATACAGTTTTGAATTGGTATTATTGCTTCCATCCATAGAGAGGCAGAATGGAGCTGTTTTATTGAAATCAATGCATTCAGTAGCAGGTTATACTCCAGTAAAAAGGCAGAGAACAGACATTCTGCATTAATAACTTTTTGGTCCTCTGTTTCTGAAGAAAAATTAAATTTTCCGTTTTTTTTTTCCCAAAACAATTCATGTTGTCCTTGTGTTTTTGTGTACGCAGTTGTTTGAGAACATCTGCCCTTCCACCATGCGAAATAAAAAATTCGCAACGACAGGCGATGGTACACATCATCACAAATTTATTACATTTCCTCGAGGAAATAATGGAAGGAAAGTCAACTACGTAAGATTTTTGAAACGTACTAGTGTATTTCACCTTTCTCACAGACATAACAAAAGATGATAATTTCTAAAACTATTTCCCGAAGGCATGTGTACTCACACAACTCAGGACAAAATGACCGAAATAGCTAAACATCCAAATAACAGTTTGCTTTGTCCTCATTGGCTAACATATGCCAGATGAAATGCAGTGGAGCACGATGCCCATTGGAGAACTGGAGAACTACCTTTCTGGATACATAAATGCTCTCACTCACAAGCAGAAGTTATCTAATTTGCAAGGTTTTGTTTTAAATATAAGCTACAGAAAATTCAATTGCTTTCAGACGTCTAAAATCACTTTTTTTTTGTTCATATAACAAAGCATTAAGCCAAGTTCCATAAAAATCGTGAGAAATTTTAAGAATAAGAAAAAGTCGGGAGAAATATATTGTAAATCGGGTTGGTGGGAGAGCGGTAAAAAATCAGGAGTCTCCCGCCTAAATCGGGAGAGTTGGCAACTCTGCTACTGGTGATAGTGAAGGACATATCATCTTCTGAAGCACTAGGTCTTCTGCTGGCCAATCTCAGTCTATGCCATTCGGACTTCCAGTCTCCCCTATGTATGGTATTAATGTCAACTTGAGCAGCATCAAGCAACATAACCAGTCTTTCCTCGTTTTCTAGCTCCCATAGGTTTGGTAAATGTGAGTTGTTTTACTGGTTAATGTGAGTTGTCTTCAGTTCTGTATAAATGATCCAACCATCAGATACTATGGCTTTTATGACCTTGACAATATTAAGCTGTCTAAATTTTTGGTAGATTTCATGGTTATACATTGATCTTCACACACTATTTACTTAAGACCATCAGTGACTTTAATATCCACATGGAAAAATGTGCTTGCAATTGACAAACCCAAGTAATGCAGTATTTTCAATAAATTTATAACTACAAAACTCTATTGCTCATTTCATACAGTTTTGCAATAAAAATAAATAAAAAACCTTTTGTAATTAACAATTTTTATTAATTTTAAATTCAAATAAATACCTGTGATTATGTTATTTATATATCATTTATATTATTTATCATTTTCTCTTTAATGTTCATATCTGCTTTTACACAGTTATTGACATATTGCATAAAAAGTTAGAATACCCTCATAAGATCTAAGAGAGGATTGTCATACAGTACTGCATTTGTACCTGAAGTCATAAATTATGATTCAGAACAAGGAACAGAGCAACTGAAAGGATTTTTGGCCCATTTCCAACTAATGCAAGAAGAATATATGAGAATGCAAGAGGATTGATTTGGTGAATGCAGATACGAGTAAAAGAACTTCTAAATGGACAAAGCTGAAAAACATGTTAAAAATAGGATAATAAATTACAAGAAGATTGGGGTTATTGTTTCAAAAAAATTATTTTAAATGAAGTGAGAAAACTGCCA